AGTTTTCAGTTGGCTCTAAATTTTGAGAATTGATTGTAATTGCTTGATGAATCATTTGCAGTAACCAAATGCAATCGAGCTGAAGTAGCGTTGTCTCTTCTGAGGGAGAACAAAAACGGGTTCGACATAGTTATAAGTGATGTTCATATGCCAGACATGGATGGCTTTAAGCTTTTAGAGCACATAGGATTGGAGATGGACCTTCCAGTTATTAGTAAGTATCTCGTTTTACAGTATAGATGATTAGATCCGTTGATAAATTTCATTTTCATGGAGACTGACGTGTTTATTATATTTACAGTGATGTCAGCAGATGATGGAAAAAATGTTGTTATGAAAGGTGTAACACACGGTGCTTGTGATTATCTAATAAAACCTGTACGCATTGAGGCTTTGAAGAATATATGGCAGCACGTGGTTCGAAAAAGAAAGAATGAGTGGAAGGATTTGGAGCAATCCTATAGTGCAGAAGAAGGAGATCGACAGCAAAAGGCATCAGACGAAGCTGATTACTCGTCCTCAGCAAATGAAGGAAATTGGAGAAATGTTAAGAAGAAGAGAGATGAGGAGGAAGAAGAAGAGGAGAAGGATGATACTTCCACATTAAAGAAGCCACGCGTTGTTTGGTCTGTTGAGCTCCATCAACAGTTTGTGGCAGCTGTGAATCAACTGGGAATTGACAGTATGTATTCTTCATCGACACCCTTGAATGAATTTGTACTTCCAAGACTACGTTTCTACTGTTGAATTGTCATGCTAGAGCCATGGAAGCCTCAAAACAAGCTAGTTTTTCATGATACTTGCTAATGCGTGAAATTTAATATTTTGGCTACATTGGTCAGTAGCTAGGTTGCATAGATACGGATACGAGTATTTAATACAATAAGGCATAATATGGCGATATGATAAATTTTCAAAATTTTACAATATGGGTACTGTGATATTGATAATATACATTTCAACATTTTATGATATAGATATATGTATTTTGATTTTTAAATCAGAATTTCTGAAGTAATATGAGGATATTTATAACAATCAGTCAAAATATTAAGTTTTTTTTCAAGTTTTTAAGTGATATATTAAAAAAATTATTAGAAAAAAATTATATTACAAATGATAGAATATGGAATACATATACAGAAGTATTCCATAAATATTGTATCGGATACGTATCAAATACGGATACATTTATTTTTTTGAAGTATCTGTGTTTCATAGGTCGGTAGCATCATAGTTTAGATCCCAATTTATATTTAGGCACTATGAAGTAGTTTTGTCTCTGAAGTAGTTATTCTTCCCTAAAACATTGTTCACTTCTAGATCTCATCTGTGAAGGATTGCTGTATGCTGCTCTTGCCTGAGTCATGAGAAATTTGTTTGAGATGTGTACATATCTTATGCTTTCAAATTTGTTACTTTTATACAGAGGCTGTTCCCAAAAAAATTCTAGAATTGATGAATGTTCCTGGGCTCACCAGAGAAAATGTTGCTAGCCATCTCCAGGTGCTGTAGTTTACACTATCCTCATTTTCTTTTTCCTTTTTATTGCCATTCTTTCTTTGTTTTTTTTTTTTGGGTGAAATCTTTTTATTGCTATTCTATTAAGCAATTACTCGAAAGAACAACTTTTTTATTGTCTGGTTTTTGATACAGAAATACCGCCTGTATCTAAGAAGACTCAGTGGGGTTTCTCAGCACCAGAGTAACATGAACAACTCTTTCATCAATCCACAGGAAGCAAGCTTTGGAACAATGTCAGCATTTAATGGAATTGATCTGCAAGCTCTTGCTGCTGCCGGCCAGCTTCCAGCGCAAAGTCTGGCAGCACTTCAAGCAGCAGGACTTGGTAGATCAACTGCTAAAGTTGGAGTATCTGTGCCCCTTGTTGATGAAAGGAACCTTTTCAGTTTTGAAAACCCCAGATTAAGATTTGGAGATGGTCAACAGCAGCACTTGAACAGTACTAAACCGACAAACTTACTTCATGGAATCCCCACCAACATGGAGCCAAGGCAGCTTGCCAATTTGCACCAATCAACACAATCCCTTGCTGGCATGAATGTGCGGGTCAATGCATCTGCTGCACAGAGCAACTCTTTATTGATGCCAATGGCTCAATCTCAACCAAGAGGTCAGATGCTCAGTGAAAATACTGCTTCACATATTCCTAGACTTCCATTATCTGTTGGGCAGCCTTCTGTACCAAACGGAATTTCTAATGCCGCTCTGGGAAGAAATGGGATTGCTGGTAATAACAGAGGAGCTGCTTATAATCCAATTCCGCAAACTTCTTCAATGCCAAGTGTTCCTGTGAACCAAACTACAGAAATGTCTGCCAGCAGTTTCCCACTCGGAAGCACACGAGGTATATCCAATATTTCACCAAAAGGCGCATTTCAAGAGGAAGATACTTCAGGAATCAAAGGATCTGGGGGATTTGTGCCAAGTTATGATATTTTCGATGAACTGCACCAGCAAAAGTCCCATGCTTGGGGACAAAATATGGGCCTCACATATGATACCTCTCAACATGCAAATGCTTTACACGGTAACATCGATGTCTTGCCATCAGTTATAGTCCATCAGAGCTTTTCTTCCTCCACCCAACAGACTGGACAGAATAGAGATTCTACTCTGATTGGAAAAGCCGTGTACTCCCAAGGAAACGGTTTGGAACAAGGAAATCTCCAAAATATTGATCAAAACCTCCATCCACTTGTTGAAAATTCTGCAAGGGTTAAGACTGAAATAATTTCTGACACAAACTCTCATTCCAACTTCCCTGGGCATTATGGGCAGGATGATCTTATGAGTGCACTTCTGAAACAGGTTGGTTCTTCTTACCATTCTCTGGAATCTCTGTGATGTGTAGTTTTTCTATCGTGCAGAAAATTTATATAATTTTATGGGTATTGTTAGCAGCAAGAAAGCATTGGGGCAGCTGAGATTGAATTTGACTTTGATGGATATTCGATGGACAACATTCCTGTCTAGAAGTGGCCTGCAATTTGTCTTTCTGATTGCTGTTGCCAATGTAAATAGTTGCTGCTGTTAATTACGGACTTTATCATTCCACATTTAGCTAGTTTGAAATCGAGTTTATACTGCTTGATGTCATAAATTCAGTCTGCTATTGTGATGGTCTAGGTTGGATGATCAACGTCATCATAGTTGTCGATTGTGAAGAAACAACTATTTACTGCCACTGCATGTATGCAAAATGCATATGTGCAATTTTTGACAGCTTTTGGTAGCAAGATTTGTTAGTAAGCGTCGAATTTTAGATGTTTATGAAGTTGGGTTAGGGAAGAATTGAAGAAGCCAGGTTTACGTAAAACTGTAGCCGTGTAGGAACATTTCTGACTTTTTAACTGCAAATTATGGAACTCTTTTTTTGTTTTTTCCTACTCGATTTCTGAAAATAACCCGCTGCTAAGCATGTAAATATTTCATTATTCAGCATATCGAATTTTTGCTGGTCCTTTCTGCACTTTAAGTATTACAATTTGTTTTTCCTATGATAAAATCCTTGATTCAGTCATTCAAAAATACTGTCATTATTTCATAAATTTTTTTTTCATTTCAATATAATGCCCAAGTATAATATTGTTTTTGTTCCATATCAGATGTTTAATCTCTTGATTGTATGATAACATGTCAGTGCTTTTAAAAGAGTGAAACTAAAATGAAACTCTTACTTTAATATGCAAGTGATATAGAATATTGAGTATCGTATAGATTTACGGGGTATTTTTTCTGGGACTAGGACAAGGTTTGTATTGAGATTGGAGAAGATTCAGGCGACAACTTGTATTGTTCACAGTTTACAAGTGATGTGGCTCCTTGTACTTTTCATATAATATATATATATATATATATATGTTGACTGATTGATAATGCAATATTAGACGACTTCAACTGAGAATGGTCAATCATTTCATGTTTGGCATGAAGGAGCTATTTTTAAGAGAAATGGGAAGGGAGAGCGCGGAGAAGTTTGGATACTTCCATTTTTTAAAGAGAAGCATAATTCCTTGATTAAGATTAAGATTTCTCTGTTCTTCCCTCTTTCTTCAATCTTTCTTCATCCATGCCAAACATGACATCAATGTTGCTTTGTTATAAGGCCCAAGCTTTTCTTGAGATGCCCAGATAGCGAGACACTGATGGTCAAGCATTTCAAATTTATTTCAAGGGAGAATGACATTTAAGATTTTCGAGATTTTATTATTATTTTATAAAAACACATATATATTATTAAAAGTTGAACATTTTGTGAAATTTCTAAAGAAACACTTAAAAAATATAAGTCAATTCAATTTTTAATAACAACATATATGTATTTTTTATAAGACAATATTCGATGCAAAATTTATAAGCTCTTATTTTGATAAATTCACTTAACATGACTTTAAATGTCACTCTCCCTTGTTTTAAATTTTCAATAGCCTCTTGTAGAACTGCGTAAATTACAGTAAACTAAGGTCCCACTTCCGAAGAAATGTCAAGTCTATGGTAGATTTTTTTTTTTAAATTTAATTACATATTTTGTCAAATTTGTTAATTTTGAATGTCATCTTGAATAATAGTTTTTGAATTAACGAAAATTAACGATATTATTATTACACGGAAACCGGCAGTACTAAAATAGATTATTCACCATCTACATGGATTGAGTGGGGAATGTCAAGGATGATTCGTCAAATACTTCTGTGACCCAGTGACTTAATTAACTTCAGATTGTCCATTTAAAATGTTAATCATAGCTAAGAAGGAAAATAGAAAGATCAAGGGTTAAAAGAATTCTCACCTATGGCCAAATTGAGGATATTCCATGGAACTCTTGACCAGCAACTAAAAAGAATAATAGCTTCGATTAGCAATGAATAGAAGACCAATAATATGATGGAAGGTGACGAGGAATGATTCCAGTGTTTATAGTGACAACACAGTTCCATGTCATGTGATATTCCTCTTCTAACAAGACAAACAAGTGATGAGTCCTAAAAATCAATTTTACTATTTCATATAAAAAAAAAAAAGAATACATTTCTATCAACTAAGACATCTACATTCATCTGTATCACAATCACTCTGAAAAGAATCGTATCAATGGAACATGAAGGATAGCCAAGACATCAAAAACAGACATGACAAATATAGCATGAGACTCCCCTATTGCCACAAAAATACCAACAGAAGCAATGTCAAGATCATTGAAGTAGCCATGGAAGATTCCTTCTTATATCCATTGGTCGGATACACAGAGGGGAGAGAGCATTCCTCCCCATTGAAGAAGACTTTAGTAGGGAATCCATCTCCACCTGCCACATTGACTCCGGCAGTAGTTTTCTTTGTAAAAGAGATCACTGACTGTTGTTTGCCGGGCACCCTCGGATCACTTGCAGGGTTTGCACCATCAGTTTCTGCCACAAGGTAGTTCAATCCTGGAAGACCTTGCATAAATATTGTATTGTTAACACCATCCAAGGTACTTCCATTGAATGAATACATTTTCTCAAAACCTGCAGCTGCTTTGTCCATTTGCACAGCAGCAAACCAGTCAGCAAAACTAGTGTCACCCCAATTGAAAAGTGTGACCCTTGCACTCCATCCCCGGCTGTAATCTGTAAGAAGATGCCAGTTTATTGTCACGCCGCAGTTATCACCACACGGCAATGGCTTTGGAACCGATAGATGTTTGAGACTAGCCCAAGCAAGAGCCTTAGCAGTCCGATTCACAAAAGGAACAAGAAGTGCCTCTGGTGGAAGAAGCATAGCTGGTGCCGTAGTACTGCAAGTTTTTCCTGTGTTACTGGCGCACCCACATGCACATGTTTTGCAAGGAATGACAGACTCGTTGTAATATGCAGAAAATGAGACACAGCATTTACGCGGTGATCCTTTGACCTGTGTTATATTACACACAACCTGCCAGCTTGCCATTGCAGATTTGTTTGATGGTATGCCTGAAGGATCTGGGGTTTCACTAGGACTTACTCTGATGGGTGGGCCACACTTGTAGTCAGGGTTGAGTGTACCACTTATCTTCCAGTTCTGTGGTGGTGAAAGCTGGGAGCGATTGAGGTCTGGTGGCAATTTAAAGACCTGCATTTGAAATCTTGAAGATGACATACTTGGGTCCATCAATGGTGGCAAGATTGTACCATTCCGGCAGCAAAAAGGAATCTTCCCGAGGTCCGAGTCATTAAACTTTGTGGGAGGGAGATCAATTATCGTTGGCCTTCTTTCACAATTCAGTACATTGGCAAAGTCAAGATCTTTATAGTAGGTCCCTTGTGGACCAAATATACATTCAGAAGAATCCACATTAGTTGGATAAGCACCCTTCATTGAATAAATAAACTCACCCCTCATCCAGTCCCAGTTTAATTTCCAGTTGTCAAGACGGCCAAGGGGGTTATGATTAGAGATTGTAACCTCTGCCCAGTAATTGGAATCATAAGTTCTGGTCACATCATACATGATTGTAAGATCACCATTCTGGCGGGGCAGGAATTCCTCATCTGTAGTTATGTTTGTCTTGAATTTGGGATCTTTTGTACAACAGACTCGAGTTTCATTCTTACCTATAGGTCAAACGTATGTTTATCAATATTTAGTATAAGGCCAAAAGAGGATTAATTTATTCTCAAATTAAACAGACAGAAAGACAAACCAGAAGTTCTGCATATCAACCATCCTCTACAGCTAGGAGGAAAACACGGAGGCAAGTCACATACTATTCAACATTTAAACATATAGCTTGAATTCTAAGGGAAAACAAAGTTGATTCAACTAAATTTCAAAAACCATAGTATTCAGCTAATGTACAAGGTCGGAAAATATCAATTAGAAGTTCTCCAAGAGTACGGCAGCATGTTCGCAAGATGAACCGTTTTGACAGTTTAACCTCGTAAAATCATATAAATCAAATACCGAAAAACGGATCCAATTTAGCAACCATCTAACACCGAAAAAGCTGGTGACATTTCTTCACAAGAAGTAAAAGGGTGAAACACCAAATAGAATCATGAAATGAGCCAATGAATCTCAACAAAAGCATCGAAACAACACAAATCGCTAGCTTAGATAAATGACAACTCGAAACTACTGCAAATCAAACGAGGCAAAGAATAGAAATCAGTCCAATCACCTTGACCAATGGGCTTACGACATACGAATCCATCATTGGCGAGGGTGATGTTTGAGGGCATCGGCACGCTGGGAGGCGCCACACCGAACACCGTGCCGACCAAATCGATCTGAACCTGCATCTGCGTCGAGTCCCCGGCGGTCTCGACCGCCGTCTTGAGATCAGTCATCGGGTACCCAGCAAAAACGGTTCCGTTCCCGACGCCAGCTGGAAGGCTAGTGCCGTCGCCGAGCACCGCATTTGAAGCAGAGACTAAGAACTCGTTGTGCTGGAACCCCACAAACACCTTCCAGGACTTGAGTTCGTCGAGTCCATTGTTGAGCACAGTGATCGTGGACTCGAATCGGTACGGTTGCTGCGTGGGATCGGAGACATTGGGCGGCAGGCGTTTTCCGCTGGCATAGGCGTAGGACAAGAGTATGCCATTGCAGGTGGCAGTCTGGGCACGAGAAATGGAAGGCAGAACGAAGAAGAAGAGGAAGATGAGGAAGCAGCAGCAGCAGCAATGGGAATCCGAAACCATGTTTGGGGATTAATCACGGGTTTGAAATTCGAAATATGAAGAAGAAGAAGAAGACGAAGAAGAGAGAGAGAGAGATGGAAGCGAAGTAAGTAAAGTTAGCTTTTTTTTTTTTTGGAGAGAGAGAGAGAATGCGGAAACGCGTAGTAAGTTGCTAGCTCTAAATAAACAGCTTGGAGGAAGCTGTACACGACGAGTATGGGAGTGCAAAGGAGGACATGATGTGAAATTGAGAAAGGATAATTAATTTAATAATTATTTAGTTGTCTTTGAATAAATGAGTTCAAAATGACCGAAAGCATAGGTCGCATTCCAACCCGCTTCCGATACTTGTTTTCCCCCAATTTTTCTTTGGTGCACACTGCAGAGAAAATAGACAGGGAGGAAACGCTGTCATCTTAATTTTGAAAATCAATGTCAATATTCCTATAATTATACAAGTTTCAGGATTCATAATATAATATAATAAAATGATTTATGTAAAGGAGAGAGCTGAATTTGAGTTACTTGAATAATCAGTAGAAATAGGAACGTAAACAATGGCAACTTGGATAAAATTGTGCTATTGATTTATGTATGAATGAGGAGACGGGAAGCGTAGTCGTTGGGTGTTGAAACTTGAGGTGTGATAGTTGTTAGAGATGATTGATTACTAACAATGAGAACTTGGAAGACAAAACGTGTGAGATTCTCATTGCGAATCCGCGGCTTATGTTACGCGGGTCACTTCTTTGTCTCCCCCCTCTCCCCCCCCCCCCCGGGCTTTATTTTTCCTCCCCGTAAACAACAAAACTTGCTTTAAACAAATCTGACAATTAGCCGACTAACATTCTCGACATTATGCATAATATAAATTATTTTTAATTAAATTTTATTTTTTAATAAAATAATTATTTATTTTTAAATTAATATTATCTTTTTATATCCACTCTTATTAAACATTTCATAATAAATATAAAGTCATTATCAACGGACACTTTTAAATAAAAAGTAATAATTACACTTTAAAAAATTAAAAATAATTTACATTTTTGAACACCCAATCTCTTAAAAAATACTTTATATTTTTTAATGAGAAGAGTAATATTAGTTTCTAAACTTTTTTTAAAATCATTGGTTTTATTTTTTAAATTTTGACTGGAAACAATTCAATTATTTTCTAAAATTTGACCCATAATAATTTAATTTCTATAATTTCTTAACTTAAAATAATTCAATCTTTATAATTTTTTGACTCAATATTTATAATTCCTTAACTCAATGAATTATAAAGATTGAGTTGTATTAAATTAAAATTTAATGACAAAATTTATCATTAAAAAATGTTAGACTAAAATTTGATTATCCCTTAAAATTAGATATAGGTTAAACATAGATGAGTAGTAGTTATTGATGATTTTGAGAAATTATTTATCAAAAAAAAAAAGTATGAATACAATATTAGACAGTGTAAAACTTAAGAGATGTGTCTTTTTTTTTTTGGCTAAAAAATATTTAAATAAGTTAAATGCTGAAGGCTTACTGAAAACAAAGCATGCCTTTAGATTTTGAAAAAAAACGTTTTAGTATTAAAAAAAACGTTTACAAATACTGTATACTTTTAAAAAAAATACTTTACACTTTGATTACAAAAAAATCTCCAGTTTAACTTTTTGGGACATTAAAAACAAAATTTTCCGAGGCATTGCTTAGAGGCCACCATACTGTGAGAGGCCAGGCCCAAATTCAATTTCAGAGTTTTGCCATTTCTAGTTTGGGCCAACGTTTGATTCCCTTTAACAAATCATGGAAATTAACGGGAACATTTCAGTTGGATTCCTTAACCCCACTTAATTTCAGTCAAAGACCTTAAAATTTTAAAATTTCATTATACAAATGTAGGGACTGAAATAAAATTAAAAAATTGACTGAAATGATTTTATTATTTCTAATAAAACTACATGTATGAATAACTTATGTGAAAAAATTAACAATTGATATATAAAAAAATGAATAATTGATATAAGAGGAATTAACAACTCCTATTAATAGCATAACATTGTTATGAATTTATAACTCTTATTCTATCTATCAATTGTTCCTTTTTTTTATATAAGTTATTCATGTACCTAACCTCACTTGTCTATATTCATAGAATTGTTATGATATTAACAAGAGTTATAAATTTCATCTATATTAGTTATTCATTTTTCATACGTCATCTATTCATTTTTCTTATATCAATTATTTATGTTAGCCATCTTTTTAATTTTATTTCAATCCTCCACTTATACAGTGAAATTTTAAAATTTTAGAGACATTGACCGAATTAAAGTTGAGTCAAGGGACTGACTGAAATCTTTCCTAAATTATAAACAAAAAAAAAAAACACTCATTTAAGTTGTGACCAGAATTTTGGGCCTGGGCCTAAGATGAGAGCATCTTATGTTCATGGGCTTAGCTCCCCAGAGCTGTCATCAAAATTGGATGAGGCCATCAAGTCAAGACTTTAAGCCGAAGAAGGTCGGGACTGAAGACAACTTTGTAAGCAAATCCAAATAGAAATGATTTACTCTGCCCTTTCACGAGACCATCTTCCGACACATCTCTAAACTTGGTCACCTAAAATGATGAATAGAACTGGAGAAGGTTTCAACATTTGCTTCCCCAACATTTCTAATCATGTGCTTCAAACCTGCCAATTATAGAAGGATATGTCTCTTAATTTCAAGATGATCTTCAGCACATCATAATCGGATCATTCCTGTGTTGGAAACTTTCGGAAACAATTGCTGAATACTGTGCTTCGATTATCCTCAAACCATGATAAACTTTAGACCCCACAATTTTCTTTTGAAATAACCACACCATATCTCAGCAGATCATGCATGCTTTGTGTGGGATAACAACGAAGTGATCCAACCACCTTTATTAATTTTCATATATTTTTTTTAATGCTAATTAAGTAAAACTGGCAAGTATTATATAATGAACTTTTTCCTTTCCGTTCGATTCCGCGCTGGTGGCTTCCAGAGCAAATTAGAAGTGCTGCTTTCTTCCAAAGTAAAATGGTCGGTGTTATGCCGTCCAACGTTCTCTTTTCTGAGTTTTCTCTTTTCACCTCTCTCTCTCTCCCACCCCCTCCCCCTCTCTCTTCCCCCATTAACTCTATCATAGCCTCGTTGGTGATTAAAGAGATACTTATCTCTCTGCTATTCTCCATTTCCGGGTCTCCAAAATGTTCAGACTCCCACTGCTCTCCATGCTTCTGTTTCTTCTTACTCTAACAATGGCGGATAGCCCAAAGTCACGTCCAAGGATGACCAGATTAAGTGTACGTCGTGCTCTTCCTGTTAGAATTCATGCCACCAAGTTCCATCTCCGCCGCCGCCTTCTCACCTGCCGCCCGCCAACTCTTGCCCTCCGCCGCCTTCTCCTCCACCCTCCTCTTTCAACGTCTACTCGTCGCCGCCAGGAGGAAGCGGCGGAGCTGGTGCTTTAAACCCTCCGTCCTATTATATGAACCACCCGACGCCGCCGCCGCCCCCCAACCCCATTGTGCCTTATTTTCCTTTCTACTTCTATAATAAAGATAGAACTCATGTATCATTAAAACAAAAGATTGAATCTCATTATGAGCATGAAAACTTTGTTGATGGCTAATCTGTAGGCATTAATGTAAATTTTATACGAATTGTTAGGCTTGTTCCAAACGATCCCCTATGACCTAAATTTATCTATGATATACATATATATATATATATTATATATATAAAGGCTTCTTCCTCCATTTCCATCAAGGTCATTCCGTCCCTCGCCGCAGTTAAAGTAAAAAAAAAAAAAAAATTCTTTTATTGCACTCAATCATTACTAATATTATTATTTGATTTATTTACCGTTGGGGTTTTCTTTTTTTTTTTTTTTTTTGGTCGATACCGTTGGGAATTACTGGTGGGTCTCATGCAGGGAAGCAGAAAGAGCTGCTTCCAACATCTGGGCTACCACCATTTGTTGGTTTGCTTCCTTTCAAAATGATGCATTGTGTCGCGCGCGCTCTCTCTCAGAGATGTCAGTTTCATTCACGTCTCAGAGCATTGGCACATTCATGTATCTACCACAAAGATTACCCACAGACTAATAAACACTGTGAGTAAGGGTGGAGATAAGGGGATAAATAAGGGTCACGACCCCCTTTAATTTTTAAAATTTTTTCTTAATAAAATATATATGGTATATATTTTCTTAGCAAGGGCCATTGACACATTATAAAAGTTTTAAATATTAGATAAAATTTTCATTTCAATTTTATAATAATCTTTTATATATGTATAGTTCAACTGTTTCATAGTTTAAAATATAGCTATTATAGAATTTATTTATTTTTAACAAGATAATGTTACAGTTGTTCTAAAAATATTGATGTTATTTTATTTTGTTTTTATTTTATATTTGATGAAAAAAATTATGATAATTATTATTAAAAAATTTTGTCAAGCGCTGCAATAAAAATTTCAAGATATATTGAATGCTATGTACTTGATATTTATCATAAAATCACTTACTCAAAAGTTAAGATGTTATAATTATGATATGTTCTTCTAAAAAAATGAATTTTTTTTCTATAATAACCAAGCTATTGAAATTTGTTATATGAATAATTTTTACTATAACATACTTATATCTTATTGACATAAAGAATTAGTGACAATTGAGTATCATTACCATGTTAATATATTTATCTACTATAATTATCAATTTAAAAAATTAAACAGTAAATTTGTTAAGTAAGCAATAAAGTTTTTTAAATTAAACAGAACTTTAAATTTTAAGGATATATTTTAAATTATTCAATGCTAATGAAAAAATAAATTTTTTGCTAATTTAATGATAATTTATATTGAGAAAGAAATTGTTAAAAATGTTATCTTAAAAGTAATAATTAATTATTCTTATTTCATGAAAAATTAATGAACAAAACTTAAAAAATAAATATATGTATTTATTTCTATAATATATATAAAATTAAGTATAAATATATATGTTAAAATATTTATGTTATATTAATAATATATAAAATTTATTTTTTATCATATACTCTTTTCGTTTAAAATATAAGACATTTTTATCTGAATTTTACCTTCAATAAAATAGTTATCTATTTTTAAAATAATTCTATTTTTTATATTTATTTCTATTAAATATTTTATAATAAATATAAAATTATTATTAATAAAAATATTTAAAAAAATAATAATTATATTTTAAAAAATTAAAAATATTTTATATTTTTAAATAAAGAGAGTATATTTTGTCATGTTGGCCCTGTTAATGAAATTTTCTATCGGCCGCGGTCCCGCCCCTGATTGTGACGCAAAATGGACAGTGTTGGATTGGGTGAGCCTCCACGTGCTGGCTGAAAGCTTGTGCCAGACCAAACTTTGGCTCTCGTCCCCGTGACTTGTCTCACATAGTTTGCGTACGATATGACCTCTTGGTTGACACGGACCGATCGGATTGGGATCACATTTTAGCCTCTATTATTGCTTTCCGTAAAGCTGATGATTTAAATCAAACTAAATGATCAACCAAACTCATTTAAAAAATTTAAAACTAAGTTAAAAAAAATTATTTTTTTAATATTTAGACTAGTTCAAATAAATTTTAAAAAAATTAAATCAAGCTGAATCGAGTTCGAGTTTAATCCAAATACTCGAATAAAAAAGTATAATTTTAAAAAATATATAAAATATAATAACTATTAATTAATTTTTTAAATTTTATATCATTTTATATTGAAATATTATATGTTTGAGTGTACTATTATAGTTATTTAAAAAAAAAAAAATATTTAGTCATAAAAAATTTTAAAATAATATTTAAAATATATTCTAATATTTATTTTATATTTTAAAACTTAATTTTTTTAAATTTTTTGAGCTCCTATACATCATTTGCATATCCAAAAAAATATATTTATATTTTTATAAAATAAAACTAAAAATAAATAAATAAAAATAATAAATAAAATGATATTTTTAAATAATCATTTGGTTATTTTATATTTTTTTTATAAAAAACTAAAATAAATATTTTATAATTAATTTTAAAGTAAAAATAAAAATAAAAATAATTTTAAAAATAAAATTCAAGCATGTACAAATTCCTGACTTCACTACTAGATAAATATAATAAATAGAACAATATCTTAAATAATTATTTAGTTATCATCCACACCAAACTTAGTTAAAAATTAAGAATAAATTAGAGTAAAAACTCCTTGTATGTAAAGGTTAACAATATAAAAAGTTAAAAAAATAATTTTAAAAAAATAATATTTTACTCATAATTAAATAATTTTGTTTTATATAATATAATGATGGCTATTTTTCTCACATTCTTCAAAACAAAAAGTATAGTTTACTCAAAAGTTATTAAAAACTTTAAACTAATTGAGATAATAATTTTAAATTAGTAGTCTAACAATGATTGAATTGAGATCAACTTAGTTATAATTAAAATAATATAATTTAATTAAAATATATATAATATTTATATATGACCATGATAAGAGTAATATTTAAACAATTAAGACATTAATTTACAAGTGAAGGAAACATTCATGAATAAATTACACATAATATAACAAAACATTAACAGAGTTATTTAAGTTCAAATTGATAAATTATTATTTTTTATTTTATTCTTTTAATTTTAAAATAATATTTTATACTTAAAAGATTATTTAAAAATTAAAATTGATTAAAAAATAAAAAATATTTTTAAAAAGTTTTTGTATTCGAGCTGTCGAAGATATTAGGGTCGAATATACGATCTTTTTAGAAGAAATAAGATATTTTATTTTAAATTTTAATTTGAAATAAATTTAATTTCAAACCTTGAGAGTTTGATGTCCACTTGTACGCCCCTCTCAGATATTGAGCTCTGTTTTTATCAATTATGAAGAGTTTATCGTCATTGAAGAGTGGTTCCTTGTTTTGGTGTTTGTTTTGACATTTATTGGAATACAGTAACAACAGAGGCCGGCAACATCAGAAGGCAAATCACGGAAGGTCTAGACAGAAGAGACAAACACAGCCAAGTTGTGCTGTTCTGATCAGAAAAGCAAAGATTATGAAGCTACACCCAAATTCTCTCAAAACGCCTCCCAAATCATTCATGTCGATTGAGTCTTTTTCACACAGCGTTCTTTCTGAATTCTAAATGCATAGATGTAACATGAATGCGTATGTTTACGTGTGCGTTTGTATTGAGCTTTTAGATATACCGAAAGGTCTAAAATTCTATTGCTGGAACGAAAGATGCAGTGAAATTGACGTGTATGTAACTTGAAAGCTTTACGCGTTGTTCATTGAAAGAATGACCATCCATTTAAAGATATTACAATTACAAATTTAAAGGAAGAATCCAGGCTAAAAATATAAAAACTAACTTGAATGAAGTTCTTGAAAGCCCCTTTATTTGTGTTTTCAGTGTGTAACTTTAAACAATATCACCCTATCAATGTAGTTAGTGGTTCTTGATGGCTCCATTCTATGAAATTTCATTCAACCTCTTATCGGCTATAATCCTTTGAAGGTAATTCTCTCCATGATATCAACCTCTCTATAAAAATAAAGATGTCACAATTATCAGTCTAAAAGTCCTGAAAGACTAATTCATTACACTTTATGCTCCAATTCATTCACCTAATCCCAGTCATCCTTGTATTTCATTGGGCACTGGTAGTGGTCCTGTATTTTTTGGAAATGGGTTTACAAGTGTTTTCCAACATTACAATGTCACATAAGGATACTTTTGAAAGCATGTCGGCTAGATGGAATGGAACACTCATATGTCCGATATATATATATATATATATATATTTTTTTAATTGCGAAAAGTAGTCAATGCATTCCAACATAAACAATGACACCTGATTTTTTTGGAAGGTCATGCCTCATACAATATATCTGAGGCCATTCGTCAACAATGATACTATGCATCTTCTTGGAGATTGGTTCCTGTCTTTCTCAATTTTATATACATCATGTTCAAATCATTGTTCTTTGATTTTTTAATTAAAAAAAAAAATAAAAAAGAAGGAACAGAGAGAGAGAGAGAGAGAGAGAGAGATGTTTTGAAGGAGCCGCAAAAAAGAGTCAAAGGATCTGATAACAAATCAGATAGGGTTGATTTCATTGATTCATAAGCCAAATAGAGTCACAGCAGAATTTTACAGTTACTGTGTTTTCTTTATTCATTGTCTCATTGTACGTCTTCCCAACACATTCAATTCTGAAAATGACTTCTCCACCCCTCCCTTCTTGTTTAAAGTTAAGACATCCTCAACAAGAAGTTAGACATCCTTAAAGCTGACTCTCATATTCAACAAAAAAATCTATTCACATTAATTCTCATTTTCCGTTCACCTAAAAAATTATTCGTAATTATTTCATTTGTTCTTATGAACTTCAATTAGGATTTTTGTCATTTATTGACATCAACCTAATTTCCACTAACATGCAACTGAAAAAGTCCAACATATACTTTTAATGCAAAAAGTTGTGTGTGGAAGTCAAACAATGGAAAATATGAAATTTTACATTCCTTATCAAGGAACTAAAAATTAAACTGATAATTAAATCAATAAAGCACTATTCAAAAATTAATTGTCAAAAATCAAAATTATAACCATGATCATAAACAAAATATTTTATGAAACCTGTTAAAATATTAATTTAACAGTTTATCAATTTAATCATACTCAAATTTACGTATTATGCTTTATATATTTGCCACCTTCCATTCCATATCATCTTTCCCAAATTTTTCATTCACTTCGGTTCCAGATCCTTTCCACGCATTCAACCCAACCGAAAAAAAAAAAAAAATGACATTTCCAAAACCGAATTCCACACTCCAATTTCACCGAACTCAACAAACTACCCCGTCATTCATGTCAACACCTTTCTGTCCTTTTAAGCGAAGATGATTTTTCTGAACAACAACACTTCGCAGAGCAGAGGAAATGAAATATGAGATAGAAAATAAAATTGGGGACAAATGTAATCAAGGCTACATTATCAAAATTGGATTTGAATAGTTTCTTACAATTCTTGGTGAGATACATAGACGGCAACAAAGAAAGAGTCAGTGAGCTAAAAATAACGAGATATCACAAGACAGACATTGAAATGAAAGATACACTTCGAATGTTAAGGTGAGTGTATCCTAGAAGACCCCAAAAAAAACAAAAAAAAACTATTTCGTGGTTCTAAGCATAAACGGATCCATAGGAGAGAGCCATCAACAGAACTGCTGCTTGTTCTTCCTCTCCCAACTTGTTCCTCTGCATCGAAACCTCCCTTCCTAAAGCCATTAGTCTCTGCTTCAAGCTGTCCCCAATCTTGCTGCTTCGATTGTTATTATTGCTACTTCTCTTCTTCTCTTCGTTGCTTCCCTTGTTCAAACCCAGAATCGCTCTCTTCTTCTTCCTGCTTTTGATACCACATGCGTTGCACAGTGACTGCAAGCACAGCATTCAGAATCAGACAAAGAAACAGATCGATGATGGACACTGTTCATCGATCTATAACCCTAATCAATCACCTTTGGCCCGGCCGGACCACCCCTCCATAGAGGGGTCTTGCTGGTGCCGCAATCGGCGCAAGTCTTCTTTGGGCTTTCTTCCGACGAAGTCCCGTTCGGATTCCTCGCATTAGCGTCCTCGGCTTCCGATCCCTGCATCACACCACAAAATCAGCTCGATCGGCTATTATTGCCATGCAATCCAACACAAGGGACCAAATCCACGACAGGATCACTCACTTTCCCGCTCAGATCCACCATTTCCGAGAGAGATTTCGGAGATCTGAGAAAACCCCAGATGAAAAGTAGTGATTGTGGGAAGTGGGGTTGAGGTATTCGATCAGAATCAGAGAGAGAGAGAGAGAGAGAGAGAGAGAGAGAATGAAACAGAGCAAGAGTGAGGTGGGAGTGACGAATCTGTGAAGCGATGAGGTATGAATGAGAGTGAGAGTAAAAAGAAGGAATGGCTCTAAGAAACGAGAAAGAAAACCGACATGCAGCGAGCCAGAGAGAAGCGGTACCGACACACGCGCATAAGCCGCAGGCAAACCGAAAGGACCGTAGCCTTTATACAAACGGGCAGAAAACCATAACCCAGATGCTCTGAAATGACGATAATGCCCCTCCCGAATCATCGCCCACCAGACAGATTCTCCTGGGTAGGTTTGTATGCTTATGAGGTTGGATTGTTTGTTTTTAATAATATATATGAACATGAATATGATAAAAAAATAAGAACACAGAGGGCTTATTTTTACAAAAATTGAGGTGCGTTTATATTACCATATATGTCATTTTCTAAAAATTTATTTAATTTAAAATATAAAATATTAAATAGGTGTTATATATTTTTTTCCAATCACACAGTTATTCAAGTAAGAGTAATTAATGAGTGTTCTTAATAAAATATATTCTTTTCATTCAAAAAAGTAGTGTATTTTTTAAAAAATTAAATATAAAAAAATATAAAATATTTTTAATTTTTTAAAGTATAATTATTACTTTTTTTAAAAAAATATCCCTACTAATAAATAATTTTATATTTTTTTAGGATGTTTAATAGGAATAAATATGAAAAGATAAGATTAGTTTGAGAATAGGTAATTATTTCATTGAGAGTTAGACTCGATTAAAAATATTTTATATTTTTAAATAGTATGTTAAATTTATTATGTGCAATTGAACAAATATAAAATCTTTTTAAAAATTAAATTTTTAACTAATTTTTTAAATATAAATTAATTAGCAATAATTTTATGTTGTGATCACGAGGCGGAGGGAGCATTTACATGTCGAAGGCAAACTGCGCTTCCGTGTCTCTCTCTGTGTCTCCCCATCTTCGCACCTTTTCATTTGTCAACCAAACATACCTCCCTTGTTTTTTTATTAATAATAATAATAATAATAATAATAATAATAATCATCCCTTTTTAATAATATTACTGCTAATAATGATGATGAATTATTTTGTTTTTTTGCTTCCATTTTGTTTGCGTCACCACCTTTGTTGTCCAAATGCCATGGAATAATGTGTCTTGTTTGCCACTTCGAGTTCATGGAAATAGGAATACACTAAACAAATACGCCAAGTCAGTATTCTGTTGTCAGTTCTTAGTCTTATTCTCTCTTTGTGGGAGAATGATGGTTCACATATTTATAGAAATCAATAAAATTCTTATTTTGTTGAAGCAAGAAATTATCGTTCATAAGCACAAATGTGCTCGGATCCATTCGCTACAAGCATCTGACTAATTGCAAGCAATTTTCAATGTCTTTAATACGTGAAGGGTAAAGCACGACCAAACCAAACCTATACCCAAGTCATTTTTAATTATTTTATTAAAATCAAAAAGAGGTAATTAAGTAATTGATGCTATCTAGAAATAATGTTTTAATTTACCTTCATTAAATTATCATTTTTAAAAACACTTATTCTCTCATATGTGATCTTTTATTTTATTCATAAAAAATATAAAATGGTAAAATTAAAAAAATTAATTAATAATATAGTTTTTAATATAAAGTAATTTATAAAAAAGATCATCAATAACTTTTAAAAAATAATTTATATATAGGACAAGAGTGAGTATGATTTCATATATTATTGATGATAAAAAACTTGAGAATGAAAAGATGACGTGGGGTGAAAGAGTAAAAGCATAATTAGCAATTGGTGAGTTGAAATGAAATAAAAACAGTAATTATGAATGATTGATGATGAGGCGACGTGAGATGGTATTATATGATGGGTTTATCATAATAACGGAGTAAGGAAATGATGAGCCGAACCGTAGAACTGCCCAGCGACAAGGGGATTTGTTCTGATTACTAATCCAGATCTCTTACAACGGAGCCCCCCTTTTTGTGTTTCTTCTTTTAATTTCTCTCCAATCCCCCACTTTATAATCTAACAACTTATTCAATAAATTGAGATAAATAAATGTAATTTAAAACATTTACAATTTTCTCACATAACTGTACAAATCCACCTAATGTTGCGCTGCTGTATGTGTTTACAATTGTTTTGAAATGCCGGAGGATCAAAGTCGGATATCAAATTAGAAAAAATAAAGGATCACAATTTTTATGATTTAACTAATAAGATTGGTGATTGAACTGATAATATAAAAATTAAATAAAAAATAATATTTATATGTATAATTATATAAATAAAATATTAATTCATCAAAAAACCTTAATATATCAACTATCAAGTAACATCACCATTTCATGATATATATACATATATATTCACATATCACCGCAAAGTTCATAACATTACAAGAATCATCAAATTGTGTAGATGCAGCATTAGATGGTTGTTTGGATAACATTTTCTAAATATAAACATAGATTAACTAAGAATCACTAGATCGTCATACGAACAATCAAGCAATCATAATTAATTAAGAATATAAATTAAGAATCAGGCAGTCAATGATGCATGCAAGCACCAGAAATCGAAGATTGAAGAGTGAACTAGAAGCTAGAAGTGGAAGGAGAGCAAGGCACATGTAAAATCTCCAAATAAGGTTATCTTTACTAATCTTTTCTGATCTCCAAACATCATTGAAATTAACAAATTTTTCAAATTACACACAAATGGGATCCTAAATTTTCCATATTTATAATATCTCAAAAGATCTTTATAAATAAAAAAATTAAAGCTTGATTAATATGCAAAAACATGAAATCTCAAAACGGAATCAAGGTATTTGCTTAAAAATTGAAAACAGTGAATTAGTGTAGAAAAGAGGCATGTGCCCCAAATTGTTACATATGTATTGCAGTGCACTGCATGATTTTGACAATAATATTGCTGTCAAATGACAGCAACTGGGGTGAACTTTCAACGCATTTCATTTCTTCGTCTGACGTCTGATTGACGTAATCTAGGTGTCTACAAAGAGCTTTCTACTAGCTCTAACTAATGGCTTTAGTTTCACAATCAAATTATTTCTTATCAAAAGTTAGACAGTCATACCAAAATTCACACCTTTTCACAATGTACACATAACTTGAGTGTTCAAAACTCTTACCAAAAGCCAAAAGTGTAACATCTCAATTTAAATTTTAATAGTTAATTTAGGTTAATAGAAATTTTTAAAAATATTTAGAGGTAAGCAAATTAGTAGGAGATGATTATTAAATCTAACTTAGGATATAATTATAAATTAAAATTTAAAAAATTAAAAAAAATTAAATTAAAAATTAAATTAATTAAAAAAATTTAAAAAAAAATAAAAAAAATAAAAAAATATTATTAAATTATTATTATTATTATAAAAAAAGAAAAGGTATGAAAAAAAACAAACAAAACGAGAAGAACAAGAAAACTTTCAGCCATGCGCGTGTAATCATTATATTTATATAATAATAATAATAATAATAATAATAATAAAAAGAAAGAAGAGAGAGGAAAGAGGAAAATAATAAAAAAATTGTGGGACCCACATTCGTTTTTTAAAACCCACCATTCTCTTCTCATTTTTCCTTCATTTCTCTTCTCTTTCGTGTGCGATCAGAGAGAGCTTCTGTGAGTCAGGTCGCCGGTGCGAAAGATTTGAATTTTTAAGGTAAGAGTTTTTGATAGGATATTTAGGGTGTGATTTCAAGCTTTTCAAGACTAAATATGTGTTCTAAAATTTTTTCTTAGTCATTCTTTCTCTTTAGTTTCTGATTTTGTAGTGGTAGAAAATTTAGGATCTGAAAAAGGGATGAATTTATGTTGAATAAATATGGTTTATGAGGTTGTTAGTAGTATAATAAATGTTCTAGAGTATAAATTTGTTGATGATCTTTGAATTTGTGGCTTATGGATCAAATTCTAGACTAGATCTGAAAATATATGTTAATTTATTGAGATTTAGATGATTATTTGGGATGAGAAATGAATTATTATGGCTATAGGATTATGATTTTAAGCTAGAGACTTAATTTTTAATTTTTGGGTATTTTAGGTGCGAATTTATAAAATAAAAAGAAAATTTTGATAATAGAAATTAGTTTAAAATTTGATTTTTAGATTATTAATGTTTATTGATGAGTAAAAGAGGAGTTAAAAATTTTACTTAATAGTATTAACTTTAGATTTGTATTAGGATTGAGATTAAGAATTATGTTATATTTTTAATTCTATTATTAGAATTATTTTATTAGTTTCAAAAATTGAAACTAATATTTATAAATAATATGTTATTTGTAGATTGTATTATTGGTGAAGATTGTAGTGGGAGAGAAATTGTAAGGAATAATTTATTGAAAAAGCCACAAGGTAACCATGCTTTTAATTTGTGATTAGTGTTATTTTATGTTAATTGGGTGATTATTGAGAAAATTATAAATTTTGTAATATTGTATAATTGTGCAATATTATTATAAATTTGTTTGATTATTGTGGGAGGTGTTGGAAGACTTGCTATTATTGTTGTATTTATGTGCCACGTGGTACGCTCCTATTGGAGCTCAATAGGTGTCTTGTAAGGGCTCGGGCTAATTTACCTTTGGCCGGGTAATTTAGCACCGAGTGAGGGCTACGGCTCGAGGTTAATGGAGGGATATAAGGATGGTTGTTTGTATGTATTGTAATATTTCTTATAATTTTTGAAATTATATTATTTTTAATTTTTACTTAATAAGCACACACTTAACTGTTTGTATACACTATCATAAATTGGCTTTGGTTACTGGGACTTTTGAGTCTCATTATGTGGTTAACAATTTTCAGGAGAAGAGCCACGAGTGACACATGGAGGAGTCCTAGAGGCTTAGTGGCATAGATCCACTGTCTCTTTTAAGTATTTAATTTATGATTTAAAATGTGTTATATTGTCAATATTAGGGCTTTTTCTTTATTGTCAATTATATGAATATATAAATGTAATCATGCCTTTCAAACTATTTTTATTTTTGGTACAATTTGAATGACTGTAATTTTAATATTTGATTTACTTTGGATTGGTTAAAATGGCATGATTATAAAGACAAATAACTGGCTTGTGTTGAAAATTGACTAAATTGCTTATTTTACTTGTTGGGAGTATAAGGATGGACAAATGT